AAATCCTCTTCCTGCGGGAAGCTGAGACTACTGGATTTCTTTGAGTGGCCAAAACAGCATGTCTACAACAAACACCAATACCACTACTCCTACATCCTCTCCCCAAACCTTCAGGTGCACGAGAAGACTGAGAGACACCCGAAACCTTTGAAACCTGCCTCCAAAGGTGCCCAAAAAAGCGAAAAGTTCGTAGACACCCATGACAAGGGGCCCTGGACGGTACACATCGAAGTCCACAAAGGCCCTACCTGTTGGAATGCCACACTATCAACATTCTCCGCGGGTCGCAAGCGCAGTGTGGAGAGGGACTCCACGAAGCAGTTTTGAATCGATACTGGTTGAAAGCTCTTTCGATACCTGAGCAGTGATGCAGAAGTCCCTTGTAGGCGTCAGGGCTCATTTTTTAAGATTATAGAGTTGCATTCAGAGCTCAAACTGTATGGAATTAAAACCGTCGTACAACTTTACTACTTTTGAGAAGGTCAAGGCTCCCACTGTGAACGAGCATATGTAGGGGTTACAGAAACTTTCGCGAGGCTTGTGTAGGAACTCCATGGGAACCATTAGGCTGCGGCTCAATGATTTAGCTAATGATTGCGAATTCCTCCGCTGTCAGACCCCCTTCGGTTTGTAAAGCTTCCATGTTAAAAGGGCTACTGATGTCACTGACCATATAATGACCTTCTAGTGAAAGGCAGATGGAGACTGCAATTCAGCTGCAACCACCATAGCAGGGCCAGGGGTGTGCGGACTGAGGTGTTACGTTCCACGGTTTGCACCAACAATCAGTTGGTGGCTGCAACCCTCCACAAGAACCCTAGCCCATCATGTGACTGCATTGAATGCGCAATCATTGGGGTGCTTAGTTGGGAGCGGGGGCATTCATTACCAGTCCAGGGCTTAATTTCAACCTGCCCACTTTTTCCTCCTGAGGCCCTGGCAAGGCGCGGTGGAAGTTCCTTGGTTATTGCGTCATCCTTTTGGTTTCTGGGAGCCTGGTCTAGGATTTCATCACTGTCTTGGGAGACTCAGAAAGTGGGCGTAAGAATGGGGATTACTGGGGTTAATGAGACTTCTTGGGCTACAAATTTACTTGCCATGTCCCCCTGACCCCTTAAGATGGCTTTAACAACTACAGAGGCAAGCATGCCCACATTGAGTGCATGATGGGATTCGGAACTCTGAGTCCCGTCATCCCGTGTACACAGAATAGGAAGGCATCTTCCCGAAGAATAATGATATTTGCATAATTTCAGGGTTAGGGTTTAGGGTTCAGAACCAAGGAAGGTGACTGTAGGACACTTCTTGGGCTCATAGACTGGGTTTTTCCCTATGGTCTCATACTAGCTTGACACCCCATAATCTTGGGAACATCCTTCCAAATGCACAAGGTATAGAAGAGCGCCAGGTGGGGTCAAGGTTTCCCCGCACCACCACAAGGTCCACCTTTATGCCCGAGCCCTGCTGGACCGTGCGAACCTTCAAAGCAAGAGCCTGCAAAACCTTGAGGATTCTCAATGGAACTCTTTTCGATACCCACAGAGCCCGTTTTTACTCTGCCAAACTCATCTCTGCACTCAGGAGTCTAATGTCTGAAGCGTCAACTCTTTGACATTTCCTGTCGAATCCCGAGCCTCATCCCCTGCACCCTCGAAACCCTGACCCTTTTGCATCCAGCTTCCCTGGCTCGACGTAATGTAGAGGCTTGGTTGATTACCAACTTATCTTGTAGGGTATTTGAGGTACCCTGTACCATGGTCGACGACCACACTGTCAGTACCGAAGCTTCCTTCTAGCTTCAGCGTTCAGCACCTCGTAAAGCACCCGCATACTCCCACTTACCACTTTATTCGGATTTTTCCATCTGGTTCTCCATGTTTGGTACAATGTTGGTCAAGTATTTGGGCTCCTCACATAAAAACACATGTCAATCCCTCAGCCCTAAACTCTGCACGACAAAATTCCCTGACCCCGGAATCCAAAACCTACACCCTGAACCCTACCAAGCAAAAAAAAAAAAAAAACAGGCTGTTACACGCCACGAATCTTCTTCCGCAACCTCGCTCTCTCCAAAGCTGCCGGGCGAAACACCCCACTGGAACTCCTGCTGTGTGGAGTCTTTCAGTGCTATAGGGTGTGTTTGCCGTTACGGTACCATGTTTTACGGTATAGGGTCAGGGTGTAAGTTTCAGGCTTCCTTTGAGAGGCATGGGCCGGCATGGGAGTCGTAGGGATAGTTGGAAATCCTGTCATCACTCTACACGGTACTTAGAATCCCGTTGGCGTCAGCTTCTGGAAGAAACGTCTGAGGGCTCTGTATTCAACAATGGGGGTTTCCGAAAATTGGGTACCATTTTGGGTGTCCCTATGAACAGCAAACACGGTTCTAGCGTATTGGGGTCCCCTATCTAGGGAAACTGCCAAATCTGCCGGCTGCTAGTCAGCTAGACGAGTCTTTGTGGGCTTGTGCATTTCGAAGCTTTATAGGATGAATCCCTAAACCCTCCACCCGAAAACATTTGAGGGTTCCTCTTACCTGCTCCGCTGCTGCAGAGACTGTAGATTCTGCTTACCCACGATCATCATCGCTAATTGCAAATCTCTTCAAAAAACACTCTGCTCCCGCTGAGTGTCCCTTGACGAAGACTTTGCGGGCTGCTGATCGATAGTACTGCCCTGCTGGCTTGCCTTGGGGGTTCCCAAGCCAAAGGATTATCATTCAGGCGTAGCGTGTGAAATGCGCTGAATAGCTAATGAGTAAAAGGCGCGTTTACGAATCCGAGAAAGGTTGCTAGCTATTTCATCGTACTGAAAATCCTACAGTAATTACAAGGCCTAGCCCTCTTCCCTTCCACACCAATCCCTTAACCCTAGCTCATCCCTGTATCACATGTGACTCGACCTAACAGCGAGATCGAAGAACGTTTGCATCGAGCTATCATGAATTCTGACTTCGGTTTTGGTCCATGCACACGGAATCCCGGAGAGGAAAACCATCTCTCTTAAAAATGAATCCCTACATTCTGGGCGGCTCTGTATTATGGTAGAAGCATGTCTGCAGCTGACTGTAAATTAGAAAGGTTGTGCATGTCAAGGTGTGCCGCAGGAGGAGTACAAGTGAGGGATAAACCCTATACCCGAAGCCCTAAGCCCCTAAACCCTACGCCCAAAGCCCCTACACCTTAAATCCTAAACCCTGAAGCCTAAACCCTGAGCCCCTGAGCCTTTGACCCAACAAGCTCAAGAAGTCCAGTGGCTATTGCTTTTAGGCCCTGATCTTCCTCTATGTACCCAATGATGATCACCCGACCATGCGCAGTGAGGAGTACTCGAACCCTCATCAACCCCTCTGGCTCGTTTGGTGGGGCCAGAACCCTGCTTTACGTGCTCTTGAAGCCCAGGTAAGGTTTTTTTCTGCCACAGGAGTCCTTTCTCTCGCCGTCGTTGCTGATGTGCGGCTCCATCACTACCCCTTTAGGCTGGCTACCCAGCGGCTCGTGTGGGCTCCAATGACATGTAGCATAAGATCCTTCAGAAGCATCTATGGGTCAGCGAAAAGCACTATCCCCGGGGCCTTTGAGGGTTGTAAGTCAAGTCTGACGTAATGCCAAGCTGTCTAAAGCTGTATTTCTCTGATTGCCCTGCACCTGTGTGGCTACAACTAGGTCAACCATAGACATGCGACCTTAATTAATTGCTGCAGTTACCACTCTGCTTCCATGGGGTTTCTCAACATAAGACTGCCCCTAGATATCCGATATCCTGGGCATACATGAGAACATGACGAGATTAAAGGAGTCCCCTTTTGGTACAGGATCATGTTCAGAAACTATATCCAGAACAACAGACGAACAGCCGCTTCACAATGGAAACAAACTCTATGCCAAATGCAGCAACTATGTAGAAATCGCACGTAGAATCAAGAAAAGCTCAGGTGCTGGCAATTATGAGACTATGCGAGCTAAGCTCGGGGTGCGAGCCCAGCTTCCAAAAGCATTAGCCCCCAACCCTTTCTACACCTGGAGCCAGTAAACCCTTTTTGCATCCGGGCTCGCGCAGGCCCCAACCCTAAACCTCAAACCCTCAACCCTCACCCCAAAACCCTAGAATCCGAACCCCGAACCCTCAGCCCTCAAGTGCCCAAGGCAGTGCAGCAATTTGTCAGCCGCTGGTACCCTGCTTCACAAAGGCAAGCGCGCTAGCTCTTCCGGCGACCTTCCTTCTATGGGTTTAGGGTTTAGGGTTTAGGGGTTTAGGGTTTAGGGCTACTGAAAATCCAAGTCCCCTTACAAAGGGATTATAGGATTCGTAGGGTGCACAGCTGGGATTATTCATTATCAACTTTAGCGCGCCCAAGCTACTCTTCAGTGTTGTGAAGCATTCTTCTCTTCATTACCGGGCTGCGCTCATCTACGCCTTTGCTGGAACTTTCGGGATGCAAGATGCATTGGGCCAACCTGTGTAAGATTTTATGATCTACACTAGGACCGTCAAGGTGCTGGCGGATGAGAGAAGTCGTGCGGGGCTATGATTTGTATAATAGAGCTGAAGAAAGGACTTTGATTTTGTGCCAATAGCGCAACCCGTTCCTAGCATCAGTGACCCTAAGCCCTAAATCGCCCTAAATCCTTAACCCGGTAATGACATGTCCGGAGGCCTGAAATCCTGAAAAACGAGGTTTACAAGTGAGGACTGCTGCAACAAGGGTCGCCTTAGGAGAAAGTGGTCAAATCCCCATTGCGCTGTTGACCTTGTAGTTTCCATGCTCATTTCCATCATTCCCTATATAACCCTCAAAATAAGCCCTGATCACCTAATCCTAAACAATGCAGTACTCCGAGGCGATGGGGGGTATGACACGGAATTAGACGGGCTTAGGCTCTCCTTGGTTCCTAGATAGGTATTGATTTGGATATGGGCCGGCGCTTCTTTCATTATCACCGGAGGATGCACCCTATCAGTCTTGCCAATCTACATCAGCCGCTCTTTTGCCCCTGCGCCTTCAGCAACAGTACCACTTCGAGGTGGCCAGCGTGGGATGCCTGGGAGGAAGGTTTCAACGCTCGCACGGCCGAAGCTGAATGCAAGGGTTTAGGTTTATGTGGGGGGCTTCCGGGAACTTGGTTAATAGGTCCCAAGAATTGGGAATCAAATGGAAAAGAAACTGGAAAATTAATGGAAGCTGGGTCCATATTATAGGAGTTTAAAAGGATTAGGGTTTCCCAAAATCAGGGAAACTCTTCGGGATCCCCATAATAAGGATTACAGTATCTGGGGGTCTGTATGGGGCCCCCAAATGTATGGAAATTTCCATTCGAGGTGTAATTAGGGCTTCAAGATTCTGTATCACGCTGGATTGTTAATTAGGATTGAGGATGAGGGAAAGCTCTGATTGCCTACACCCCATATGCTGTTTCTTAAGCCCTATGGATGCCCCCAGGGGCCTCTGGATTATGGACCTATGAAAATAACTCTGAACGCCCAAACCCTAAACCCTAAGCACTTATATAACCCTATATAATCCCTATAATATAATGGTTTCCGTTTTCTTTGCCATTATCCCTAGAAACCCTCCCCCCGGCCCCCAATATAACCCTAAACCCAAAAACTCCCGTAAAAAACCTGAAAAATGCGAGCCCTGGGATGCCTTCAAGATGGGTGTTAGGCCGTCGTCTTGGGCAGCGTCCTTGTCGGCTCTGGCCTCCAGCAGCAGACGGACAATTTCCAGGCGACCGTTTGCGCAGGCCTGCAGCATTGGAGTTGCGCCATGGTTGTCGGCCTTGTCCTTGTCAGCACTGGCCTCAACAAGAAGACGCACAACTTCGAATCGGCCCTTCTGGGAGGCGATGGACAGCGGAGTTGTACCATCCTTGTTGGCCCTATCTTTGTCCACAGCGCTCTGCAGCAGGAGCCGTACAACTTCCAAGGAGCCAGACTCAGATGCTACCAGTAGAGGAGTGTCACCCCCACTGCTTACGCAGTTCTTGTCTGCATTGGCCTCCAACAACAGCCGAACGATTTCTAAATGGCCACTGCCGGCCGCTAACCAAATTGGAGTCATACCGCCTTCTTCGGCGAGATCTTTGTTTGCTTTGGCCTCCAGCGCTGGTGTTCGTCTTTGACAAAAAAATATGGTAGCTTCCATAGATAGGGGGACCCCAAAAAGAGACGCCGAGATACTACAACACTATAACACCATCATCCTTGTTATGGGACCCTTGAAGGGGATGAACTCCAATATGCATCAATTGTCAGATGCCCTGCTCTCAGATGGGCCCAAATCTGCACCGGGCGTAGAGTATGGAAAGGGAGCCAATCTTGAGAAATTTGCACGTATTCTTACTGTCAGGTGAGGAAGCATCTTCCAGGTGCTCTAGGAATATTCATGACATATTACGTAAAAAGACAAACTACGGAGGATACTAAAAATCCTGCATGACCCTAAGTACCTTATACCTTGGGAATTATGGTACTATAGTATATTAAGGTCATGTAGAATGTTTTGGCATCAACAGTAGTAAAAAAATATAGTAGCAGTAATAGCAATGATAATAGTAGCAATACTAGTAATAATAATAAGAATAATAATAATAATAATAGGAAGGGCAGCTAGGAGCCTCAGCCGGCCTCAAGCAGCAAGCGAACGACTTCCGGCCTGTCCTCGGCGGAGGCCATCCTTACTCGGGGTTAGTGGGGACTAATTTGCGAATTTATTACATTGGGGTTATAAGAGAAATGGGAATATATTCTATAGGGGCTATGTATAGAAATTATATTCCCTGATTCCCTACT